AGGAAGAGGTATGGGCTGAGTGCTGACCCCTGATGTAAGCCCACTCTTACTTCGAACATGTCCGTCAATCCGGCTGCAGTTCTAACTTGCGTGCTGGCTCTATAGTACATATCTTCAATTGTCACAATGTATTGAAGCGGCACACCTTTCTTCCTAAGACCAAAGGACCACCAATGGACTTCTCTTGGGACTCTGTCATACGCTTTTTCCAAGTCTATGAACACCATATGCAGGTTTCTCCTCACAGATCGGTACTTCTCCATCAGCTGTCTCACCACGAATATGGCATCTGTAGTACTCCTCCCAGGCATAAATCCAAACTGGCCTACAGTGACACTAGTTTCATCTCTAATCCTCCGTTCAATTACCTTTTCAAAAAGTTTCATTGTGTGAACCAATAGTTTTATCTCCCTATAATTATTACATTCCTGCACATCCCCTTTTTCTTTAAAGATGGGTACTAAATAGCTTCTTCTCCATTCATTGGGTATAGTTTCCTCTAACAGTATTTTGTTAAACAGCTCTGTTAACCAGTCTCTTCCCTCCCCTCCTAGGACTTTCCATACCTCTATTGGTATCTGATCCGGGCCCACTGATTTCCCATTTTTTATTTTATTCAATGCCAGCTGTACTTCCCCTTTCTCTATTATGCCTACTAGGCCAATATTTGGCTCTACATTTTCAGTTTTAGTTTGTCTGTCATTTTCCACGTTCATAAGGTCTTTAAAGTATGTTTTCCACCGGGCCTTAATTTCTTCATTTTTAGTTAGCACTTTGCCATTTGTGTTCTTTATACACTTGATGTAGGTCATATCTTTACTCCCTCTGCCTCTCATTTTCGCAAGTCTATATATGGCTTTTCTACCCACTTTTCCCGTGAGTGACCTATACATTTCGTCCTGGGCTTGAGCCTTAGCTATGGCGACCTCTGTCTTTGCCTTCTTTTTCATCTGCACATAGACCTCTCTTTTCTCTTCCCTTACCTTATTATCTCCTTTCTCATTCTGCCAACTTTTAAAAGCATCTTT